AGATGCCTGTGCATATCCAAATCCTAACTGTCTGCACGCCACCATGGCTTCCAATACACCCCATCCGTCTCCACAAATAACACCCCAACCTTTTCCCGGAACTTGTAGCTCCACCCTTCCCTCGGTTGGTGTTCTTCCTCCTATAAGTCGGACTGTAATGTTGGTGAGATTATATTCTGTGGACACCTAAAAAGAACAAAATATACTGGTTTTTTACTGTTATAACATTAAAATAATAATAATAATATCGTACATACTGCACATCAAAATCATAAAGGAGTGTTGTTACACTGGACAAAGATGTTGCTATAGGTCTTCATGAACATGCATTTCTGTACGTAGAGCGCTTCAATTAGTCTTTGTATTAGCCTAAAACTAATTATTGAACTTTGCGAAATTCGTGTTCTGTTGCCATGTTGGCTCACAAAGAATATAAGGGATAAAATGAAAGAAAGGCATCATAAATTAAAAAGGAGACATAGAGGGTTACAGAAGATCAAGAGAGGAATTCAAGACATCAAAACGGTTGTATGAAACTGGTTGGCTATAAGTGTAACAATCAACTGTAAGAATTTTTTTAAATACATTAAAGATTAGCCAAATGGAAGTTGGACCTTTGGTGAATGATAAAGGAAAGCTCATATATAGTGATTATGAAATTGCCAGGTTATTAAATTTTATGGCCCGACATGGTCAGGTGGTTAGGGTGCTCGACTCACAATCTGAGGGTCGCTGGTTCGAATCCCCATCCCACCAAATATGCTCGTCCTTTCAGCCGTGGGAGCGTTATAATGTGACGGTCAATTCAAGTATTCGTAGAGTAGCCCAAGAGTTGGCGGTGAGTGGTGATGAATAGCTGCCTTCCGTCTGGTCTTACACTGCTAAATTAGGGACTGCTAGCGCAGATAGCCTTCGTGTAGCTTTGCGCGAAATTCAAAAACAAACAATTAAATTTTATTTTTTCTTCATTTTGTACTAATGAAGATTTAAGCAATATTCCTTATCCTAAAAAGATACTAGATTGAAACAAGATCGAAGAAGATTATCACATTAATTCTGAGCTTGTTAAGGAAAATTGGGAACTTTGAAGAATGGTAAGTCTCCCGGTCCAGATAATATTTCCTCAAGGGTTTTGAAGAACGTTAAGGATTGGATGTGTGAGCCACTTGCTATTATTTGTTTGTAAGTCCTGGGATAGTGGGCAGGTACCACAGAATTGAAATTGGGCTAATGTTACTCTTATTTTCAAGGAAGATAATAAAAGTTGTCCCAGTGATTATAGGCCAATTAGCATTACATCAGT